GGGAGGGAGGGAGAGAGAAAGTTAATGTTTTGATAATGGCTAAACCTTGCCTAATAATGGGGTCTTCAGCGGTAGGATCAACTGGGTAATATCTGACACTGAAGACTAGCTGCATCATATCCCCTAAAGAAAAACAAAAAAGATCATTACAACCACTTTGTAAAAGAAAGCATTATTAACATAATAGGCACATACAAAATAATTAAATATCTTCATAATTTGATTAATCCCTCCCTACATTTCTAGCCAGAGGAGGAGGAGGAGGAGGTGTAGAGGATGAACGCAATAAAACAATGAGTGAAGGATATACGACAATCAATGCCTAATTAGCTTATGAGCATAACTAGTATACTTGCATAACTCGCACACATACATAACTTGTATACTTGTTATAATGACAACTACAATCCTCCACAACATCCCTCCCCATTCTCCTCTTACTCCTCTGGTTTCTCTCCTCCTCCATACCTTCCTTTTCTCATTACTCTTCTAATCAAGCACACACATGTACATACATAGTATCAACTAATGCAAAACCTTGTATAAATGCATATACATGTACATGTACATGTACATGTACATGTACATGTACAACTACTATCATATTAACTAATGCAAAATTTATGGATGCTATACCCAATAATATGATGTGCATAGAGTCTTATCTCATCAATGTAATACGCATGTATGTGTCATGTACTGATTTCTACTAGTACCTGATAAGACACATGTAGGATTATTGAATTACTCACTATAGAGTATGCCAGATCAAAGACTGACTTTAGCCACGCTTACACAAACACTAGTGCGTCACTTAATCAAAAAAATTAGCACTAGTGACATAGGCACTGATGTCAGAACATTCTTACACGAACAAGATTAAGAATAGTTGTTCTTATAATGACTGAGTATGCATACTAGCAGGTGCACATTATTAAAGTGCTAATTGTTTATACTATCTTGTTTACTGATGGACTTACTTTTAGTTTGTTTCCTTACAGACTTGGAGAGCTCCAGCCATTGCTATAGAAAGAAAGGGAAGAGAGAGAGAGAGAGAAGTGGGAGTGTGATAGGAAGAAAGGGAGAGAGGGGGAGAGGTGAAATCAGGATGAGATCAATAATAACTATCATTAATAGTCATTAGTTGTTATGGATACAACAATCAGAACAGTATGCATGCAACAATATATCTTTCACTTATAAACAAGATGATTTCATTAAATCACACTCCACTATAGTTCCACTTGTTAAAGGGGAAAGTTAGACAGGGAGAGAAGAGCTACATGCACATTACTTAATATAGATGTCATGGAAGTGGCTTACAAGCAAATCGGAGTAAGTCAATCCTAAAATAGGATAAGGAACATACATTGGGAGTATGTCCTAAAATAGTTACCAGGAACATAAATTGTATACCAATGAAGTCATGCATCATAAACTCCCCAAGAACAATAGGATACTTATACAGACACACTTTACTATTGCAGTGATTGCATGGTCAATGAGCGTGTGAGTCTTATATTAACAATGGATAAGAAAGGACCACACAGCTACAAAGTCATGAACATATACTCAGATTTATTACATGTGTGTGGGTATGACTACTGTCTATATAGTGTTTGATTTGAAAACATTTCATTTATTATTGCAGAATGCAAGGAAATTTCTGGAGCTATTTTATAGTTATAGCTATTCTATTATTTGTGGTATTATTTAGCATTACTACACTGTAACAATAGGGGGTCATGATTCCCTAGCTGATAAAAAGCTAAGGCTACATGTGCATGCAAACACACTGAGATATGTATGCACATTCAAGGGAAAGCACAGGTACCCACATGACAAGACCATGAATACGACCACAATATCCTTATACAGTTTCAGGAAAGCATGTACTGATTACTGCAGATCATATACAAGCATAGGATGTACAATTATTTACGCCCGGTGCGATAAGATATTGATAAACAAATATTAATTTGATTTGGAAGGTCCCTTAAAAGGAGGTCATAATTAATTAATACACAATACAAGTAAATCAACTTATTTATTTTCTTTTTCCTTACAAATTTTATTACATGAATGTATAGAGGGTTTTGAGTATGGATTTTTAAAGTTACGAGCATTAGAGAGAAAGGCTGTATACCATGGTTTTCAAATGGCTTCAAAAAGATTTGAGTGGTGTGTACAACATATAGAATACAAGGTCTACAGTGGAGAAGTCTAATTTGCATGTAAATTAACAAGTGTCCTATGTTGTGTACTGGCACCTCTCTAATGAACCAAATTGAACTTTACAAATTATCGCAAACAAATAACACGCACTCGTGATAAAAATAAATTTTATAAGAATCACAGTATATAGTAAGAGTCTTGTATACATGTATATATAGCTATAAGAATCACAGTATATACATAACTACAGCCAATCAATGGCAAAACTTTAAAGACTCATCCTGCATATGAAACATGATACAGTGATAGAAGAATAGTGCTAACTTAAAAACAAACTAAAAAAACTATAATAGTCTTATACTGAGCTTTGGACTGCAATATTATAGCTCAAGGTGATAGAAAAAGCATTAGAGGATCCAGAGGAGCCCTAGCTGTCTCACCTGAATTCATAGTAATGAGGTAAACTTGGCAACCACAACTATTAGCGATAGACCACACAATAATAAAACCAATAATGTGCATGTTCTTTGTAGTAGCATTCTGTCTCTGTAGTATTGTTATTGATAGTATTTGTGAGGCTGCTTGGTTTTCAGCATCCTCTTATTCATAATGACTCATCCTCGTCAGTGGTAAGTGGTTCATGATAGACGATACAAAAAAAAGAAAAAGCACTGTTTTAAAACACTTGTGATGGCTATAGCTGGCAACTATAAAGTCGTTACAGTGATTTTCCTTAAACTTGCATGAAAGGCAAGCAGAAATGTGTCATGCACATGCTCTATTGTGGTCAGGAATTAAATGGATGCACCTACTTAATACTGACCTCAACAGAGCATATTCATAACACATTTCTGCTTGCCTATCATGCAAAATCACTGTACTTAATTAAATGCAAGATATAAAGTAAATTACATGTATATTAATTAACCAGGTGAAGGTGCACAATTATTAGTCTAAGAGTACACAACCACAAATTTAAAAACAAAATACAGCCATTATCATTAGCATGGTATCTGTTGCCCCAATATGTGGAGTGATTTCAACCAATTAAACACAACCCAGAACACATAACTATATATGGAAAGAGAGGCTAACTTGAAATTTGTGTTCATCTTCATAAAGGATACCAAAGAAATCCCTTTGCTTGATCTTCAACGTGCTAACAATGTACTCAAATATCCACTGGCCGGTTGTCTTTTTCTGTTTAATAAAAGAAGAGATGGAGAATTGATTCTTAAGCTAACAATAATATGGAACTGTTTATATTATTATATTATATCCTATGACAGGAATGCTGCATGCATGAGTAGTGATATAAGTATATTGAATTGTTGCATGTTTGCAGACTTTATAGTGTCATATACTTATTGATATCATTGCATTACTGCACCCATATTTCTCTCTCTCTCTCTCTCTCTCTCTCTCTCTCTCTCTCTCTCTCTCTCTCTCTCTCTCTCTCTCTCTCTCTCTCTCTCTCTCTCTCTCTCCCTCACCATGTGATGAGACTAACTCTCATACATTTTCCTTACATGTTTCTACATGTCAGCGTGTACATGCACACAAAAGGATCACCTACATGTAAGGTGCGTGAGGGCTAACATTTTGGCTATTGCAACATGTGTTAACAGGCAAAGAATGCAATCCAGACTTTGTGGTTAGCTTCATATGTCACACACGCTTTGAGGAGTGAGACTAAGAGGGCATATGTGTGAATTGTTTTGTAGTGGGTCTGGATGACAGAGTGAATCACAGGCCATGAATCTCATCACTGGCGATACAGTATCAGTATACTTTATACTAGTAGGGTGGGTGGGTATGAGGTATGCTGCATGAAATACTTGTGCTTCTTTGAAAGGTGTGTTGGTATAATGTATTAATACATCAGTTTGCATAAGAGGTTAGGCCTTTGTTACAGTGCAGTCAATAAATGCAGTACAAGCACTATCAATTGCAGTGAATTATCGTTTACAATTAATAATAATGATGATGATGATGATGATAATTATAATAATACTCTATGACATGCCACACCTCCAGTCAAGTACGATCATGATAATATCGATATTTTTAGTTATTATATAATAATTATTTTTTATTTTTATTACTTACATTTATTTCCAATTGAAGCTCTCGTCCATCTAACAGAGCTACAGCACACTGTATCCCACTGGCCTTGGTGTGTCTCCTCTCCAGTCCACCGGCACCGTGAGAGAACTGAGAGTTTGCTCTGCTACGTATCATAATAATGATAATAATGAGTCCGGAGTCCCTCCCACAGGTTGAAGGCTCTAAACACTAGACTATATAGGTCAGGAGAGTATAGAAGCTAGATTGGTTAATACAGAGGTCTTAAAAGAACAGGGAGAGAGTACTGAGGAGTCAGTCACATATATAGTTGATAGTAAAGTAAGTGAAGCTTTGCAGTTATTTTGGCGGCACTCCTCCGCAAGAGGCGGCCTGCTGCAGCGAGCAGCCACACCCACGAGAGCAGTACAGCCACACCCATAAGAGTTGTGTATAAAACAAGGTGAGAATAGATTTTTGGGTCAGTAAAGCAAACAGCTAAGCTGAGAGATAAAGGGTGAAAGAAAAGAAATAGCAAAACCAAGAGCTACAAGAAAATGGGTCTTACTTACAAGCAAGTTATACTCGTTGGAGATTCCGGCTGCGGTAAATCCTCACTAGCCCTCCGACTCGCTCACTCCTTTTACTCGGAGACCTACATCCCAACCGAGTTTGAGAGCCACACCACTGAGCTGGAGGCACCTCAGACTGGAGGAAAGGTACAGCTTAGGCTCCAGGACGTCACGGGCTCGAAAGAAGGAGCCAGTTTCAGGCAGCTTGCATACGAGGGATGCGATGCCGTTCTCCTCTGCTTTGACTTGAACGACTCTGAGAGCTACGAAAACATGGAGACACGCTGGGTCCCAGAGATAAGCAGTTTCGCCCCTGGCGTCCCAGTCTTCATTGCAGCCTGCAAAGAGGACAAAACCAGCAAAGAAAGAAAGGAGAGCATGAGAAACGAGCTCGAGAGCCTGGCTGAGAAAATCGGAGCAGCTGGCTACGGAGTGTGCTCTGCATCTCAGAACGACAAAATCGAAGAATTATTCCAACAGATATTAGAAATAAAAGCACAAAAACAACGCAAGGGAGTCAAGAAGGTCATCAGTTCCACGAAAAAGAGTCTAAAAAGAATGTACAGCAATATGTAAAGGGGTACACAGCACCGAACTTGAGTGTTGGCAGCTAAAATAAAATTCAGGGCTGAAGAGGTGTTAGAAATGACTATCGTAGCCTCTCACTCCCTCAAAACGCAAGAGCCCCTTTGCAGAGAGTCGAAGAAGAAAAACAAACATTTTTCTCTTCATTGTCACATGTTTATCACTTATTTGTATCGTTTTATTTTGTGTTCTTACTTGCTAACTCACTGTCACTGCACATCACATTATTATATTTTTATGTATACCCATCATTATTATTGTGTTAGTAAAAAAAAGATAATAACATTCATAAAAATAAAAGCAGTCAATAATAATTTACGAGAAAGATTAAATAGCAGTCAATTTTCAAGAAAAATTAAATAATAGTGCATATTCACACACTTAACCCCAAATCAACATACACATGGGCCATTATCTTAAAAGATCACATCATAACCTTGTCCTGTGAATTTGAGTGCTTCAAAGGCAGAAACTCCCACATAAAGAGCTAGACATACTAAGAATTACTATATACCTGGTAGCAGCTGTCGTATAGCGTAGACTTGGCTCACTGAATGGACTATACATTTCATTCATTCATTGACTTTACTCATTTGTTGTAACGAGTACTAATTGACGATACCGTCGCACAAATCACTTAGGAATTGCTACAATGCATATACTACTACTGAGGAACGAGACCGTTCAAAACAGATAGCAACAAGCAATGTTAGGAAAATTATAATCAATTTTTAGTCGTAGCAGCTCTACAAGTACATGTAACATGGCAATAAAACTTAATCATAGCGAAAGCGATGTCAATATAACTACATAATGCTGGCTTCAAATTGAATTTATCAGTACACAAGAAATGAACTAGCTCAGCAGACGCAACATTCATTGCACAACTGTGAAACATCCAAACAACTGCTGAAGACAGGAATTACACAAATTACACTGTAACACTCAAGCACTATAACATTACAATTACACCATGGAATGCAGTCCCAAAATAGAACAACACTGGGGCAGGCACGCATTTACATAATTAGCTATACTGCAGAATTGCATCACTGCAATCTGATGAAGATAGTCCTTTGTGTTCCCAGAAAATACAATACAGGTCACTCTCAGATTCATTGTGTTCCTCCCACACAAAATAACACCAGTCTATTATTGGGTATAAATGTAAAACTAAACTGAACATAAATGATAATGATACCACAGCCTTTCACTGATTAAATCAATTTGGATCAATCACTTGTAGGAATTGTGCACGCGTAAAACGAGTTGAGCCAAAAGAATGCGCATGTCCACATTCCATCTTGCGTTTGTTTATGTATGCTAGGCCAACACAATATATCAGCCAGAGTGGGGAATAATCGAACGCAAAACGAAAGAATAAAAAAAGCACGCACAATGCAGTTGTAATTATTTTGCTGCATTCATTCAATAAGAAGAGTGGTCCCACGGGACCCCATTAGCTCTAGACTTTCTCACAAACACGAGCTAATGCTCCTACTAATGGACAATGGACGAAGCACACCTACACAACGAGTGGCAAATACAAAATAGTTTTAGCAGGAGTGTATAAGGAAATCCTATCAAAACAGCTTAAAATGACAATAATTTAAAAAGAAAAACAAATAATAATAATCAATGTTACAAGTATGATCATCATCATAATTATAATTATACATTATAGAGCAGCAACTGACAAGTAGATGTTTTTATAAGGAGAGATGAAAGATAAACAGAGAGAGAGAGGGAGGGACTGATTAGTAGTGGAATTCAGGGAAAGGATAACGAAAGAATAATAATAACAATGATAATAATAATAATAATAATAATAATGGGTAATTACTTAAATGTAGTAGGACTGTTGTATCAAACAAAAATTTTAATTTTTATTGTTATTATTATTAATATATTTGAGTTAATTGTTATGAGAGGAGAAATCGATGGATCAATCAGGGTGAAGTTTTGACATTATTTGCGTGATTGGAGAGATCAATTTCAATGTAATCCTCTGAAAAAGATAGAGATAAAAAAGAGAAAGAGAGAGAGGGGGGAAGACAAGATAAGTGGGCGGATAATAAAATTAAAGTGTGACCTAACAAAACATCACATGAGCATCAATAGAGACGAGCAAGACAGGACAAGATGGCCATTAAACAGATTCAAATTCCTCATTATTAATTATAACAATCAATCTAATTACAATAACACAATACAGTCGCTATACATTAATAGTGTTACAAGCAGCTAAGAGCTCTTGCATCATAAAAATAATTCATATTTAACGAACAAGCGTCCTTTTACTATGGAAATAGCATAACAACCCAATTAGGATAACACAGTACACAAATTGGCATGCATGATACATATTATGCTGACATTATACATACATGTACATGTACAAGAACAGAGGCGCAGGTGCAGCAATCAAATAGTAGGCATGCCACAGTGGCCCACACCCATTAGACCTTGTGTCAACAGAGAAAACTCACAAAAAGAGGCCACAAATCCAATAAGCCTCAGACTACATCTACTCTACTGGACCACAAACTAGACACTAGGTGATACTTGTGTGTACTAATATATACATAATAGAATGCCTGTGTATGTAGTCTAATGCAATATCTCTGTGTATTTTTAATATAGAGTTTGTGTGGAAGCAACTGAAGTTGCTCAAAGTGTAGGTATAATGACAATAAAACCACATTCACACCAGTACTTTTCATAGCTGGCAACACTTGGGAATTGCCTGGTAGTAAACTAATAGCAATTCAAGAAATAATGGTACAAGTCTCAATCCACATGATGGCAACACCCACACACCACGTACATGTACATATACATGTACACATACATTGTACATTACATTACATGTACATACATGCACACACAGAAGTAGCTTCTTACCTTCATAAGCTTGTACAATGCAGTCACAGAAAAATTTATACTGATTCTAAGGAGAGAAAAGAGAGAGATACAAATATTAAAATTATAATTACAATGATGATTAGAAGAATGTACAAACATGCATGTACCCTCATGTACGTGCACATGCAGTAAATCACATACAAACACACTAATCTCAATCAACCATACACTTCCTTCCATGCGTCACAGTGTACCACTAATTCACATGGTTCTAATTACAAAATTTACAATTTTAATCTTTTAATTAAGCCCAGAGCCTGACAAGGGGGAATTCCTTTGTGGCAGTGCATCATTACCAAATATGGTATCATAATCACAGTATCTGATTGTCAATATTTTGGCAACATCAGCTGCCATTAAAATGTGTTTGCTGCAAAGTCATTCATTAATGTGTACCTGACTATATAACATGAACATGTGAGGAGAGCATGCCTTAAGAAGAAATGCATGACATTAAGCAAATGCCGTTCTCATAAATAATCTTATACTTACCAGCAATGTCAATCATTACATACATGTACATATATGTATATGGGCATAATGACAATAAAATAATGAAGACATACATACACATACTGTACAAGGTGATTTATTGGCGGGAGTAATATTTGGCAAATTGGCCTGTGGAAAGAAATTGGCGGATTTTATATTAGCAGTTTTGTGCAACGTGCCATTGAGCATGCTCAGATTGAAACAAAATGGCAGATTTTATATTGGGGATTTCTTCATAGAACCGCCAATCGCTAATATTAATTCCTCACCAATAAATCATCTTGTATGGTATAATGTAGATTGGATTGAAGGGATTAAGTATCATGAAAAATGAGACAATGAATGTAAAATGAATAGCAAGTCTACACTATCTACATTTAAATTAGATAAATCCTTTAAAGACAAACAAGGATACTGCATGCATATGAAGCTGTAGAGTGGCCACGTGAAGCAAATTAAAATAATACCAAAGCAACCAACCACCCACAAACAAGGAGCTGATAATTAAAGGATGCACATAGCATAACGTGTCATCAAACAGGAGTACATGTAGAGTCCGTGAGACTAGCTATGCATCAAAAAAAATTTGTAAACACGACATCTGAAAGAGTGAAGTAGTTAATGTACATGTACATACCAACACACACTTAAGCATGATGTGTGTGAGAAAATATCTAATTACAACGTGAAGCATAAATGCATCTCAAGATTAGTGAATGCTACAATGTAGCAGGAAATGCATTTACTTTCTTGGTAATAGTTGTAATAGTGATGAGATGTGACCATATACTATTGTTTGTGTGTGTGTGTGTGTGTGATGTTTACCAGTGCAGGTAGCATCATTCCTCTCTGATCTCTCATCATTCGAACTATTTCCAGTGGATTGAACGCCTCGACGATTTCTATTTTCGTCAGTGCCGTTTCCATCGCAACAAAGATACCACTTCGATCAATGCCACCACTAAAAATTAAAAAATAAGATTTTTAAAAATTTTTAAAATGAATTTATTTACCTACTACACCCCCCTTCTCTCTCTCTCCTATCTCTCTCTCCAATACCACAGTATCAAAATAGTGATGATCTAACTCCATAGACATGTCTCTTAAAATCATATTCTAATCTTTTGTATAGCTATTCCCAGTATAGGCCAGACAGCAATTAAAGGTATAGACAGAGGGATAAACAACAATTCTAATACATGAAATACAATTTGCTACACAAATTCATAAGAATTAACACACTCAAAGTTGAACAACACTATACCAGACAGAATAAAGCCTTTAAAGATTCCAGTAATTGTAAGCACAGACACAAATAAAGATATCAAATTATATATCATTCTCCATCACCTCTACTATCACTATCACCCTATCCCTCAATAACACTACAGAGATTAGTACCCAGACAGAATAAAGCCTTTAAAGATTCCTTTAATTGTATGCACAGACACAAATAAAGCCAGGCCAGCAGAGGCAGCTATTAGGGTAAACTGATTAACATTAAAGACAGAGAGAAGTCAGTTGTGTACTCCTAAGGTTTGTACTGTATTTTCATTATGATTTAATGGAATATCCCTGTGGTCAGGAGTACAGGTAGCTATCTAATCACTACTATGACCTTCCCATTTATTCTCACCCTTTATTTCTATACTCTCCATTCTCTCATCCACATGTACCTCTCCCTCTCATCCCATCAATTAAATATACTGTATGTCCCCATTCTCTTTGATGTGACACACAATAGCTGCCACTTAAGAGAGAGACAAAGAAATCCTCCCTCCCTCCCTCCCTCATGAGCATAGCCAGTGAAACCACCAAAACAAACCCAATAGTATCAAAATGATGATTGAGTGCTAAGGGATTATGAGGAACACACACAAACAAGAGCAGGCAGCATCCCATTGACTAACAATACAGACAAGAGCAAGATCACTTGTACACAAAGGATAGCCACAGCTATATACATGTAGTTGTAGGTGTAGACATATCAAAAATCTTCAAAAAACAATAAAGGTCTCCAATGGGTAATGGTACATTCAAACAATAGACCAGACACAACAGACTTCACAACTTTACACACGAGAGATGTACACGTAACACCTAACTGGTGTTAATGTGTGACACCTCCATAACAAGTCTCAGGGTATGTCTGTGTATGCATGAGAGCATTCAGACAGCAGCTGTCTAGTGTAAATTCCTCTTGTAGTGCGTGTGCCTATTGGAATAGTGCCTTTATCTCATTGTCTCCTCTCCCTCAAACCTCATTTTATTATCCTTATTTAGTTCTCTTTTGGTTTTCTATTCTAATATGTCTACCTCATCTCAGTGACATCACATGTCTGTCTATACTCTATACCCTCCTCTCTATTACACACAATATGTACATGTACATGTACTGTATAGCTGTGATGTACAGTGTACATACACTCTGTGATTACCTGCAGTGAACTACCAGTGGATCCTCCATCCCGTGTCTAAGTGTATGCAGTCTACGTATGAATCTTAAGAAATCAGCCTTTACTAGGGGTACATCTGTTGAATAGAGAAAATAAGTACATTGTTGTATATTCAAAATCATGTAACTCTCTCTCTCTCTCCATTCATTTCTCTTACTGCTTTCACTCCAGTCCAAGAATTGCAAATGGATAATTGGTTTCTCTTCTTTTGTCTAGAGAGAGAGAGAGAGAGAGAGAGTTCAAAATAAGTATATCCCTCAGTTTACCCTATTGTTCTTTAATACAAAGTGTCTCGTGCAGCAAAGGTTGTCTTTCCTATCACTCTCACAGTATATCTGAAACGGACCGTACTCAGTCGAGTTACCTTGATCTGGCCAATACCTACAACACTTGACCTGTACAAAAAACCACACATACATCACATTTACATACCACATTTACGTCACACACATGCATGTACATCAGATGTACATACCACATGTACGCTACATGAACATGTACGTGTACATGTATATACCTTTCCTTCCTCCATTATATCAGTTAGCATTACAATGAAGCCACATCCTTGCTCCCATACCATCTGGAACAATACAACAAGTATGCAATTTAAAATAAAAAGGTAAAAATGGGAATATTTATCAATACAAGTAAGAATTTATAATCTTAATCCAAGTAAATGAAGTAATAATTAATACGTGTTCCTCACCTGCCAGAAGTCAATGCAAGTGTTTTGCATTGGGCCCTGGGTCACTATGTACCGTACAACTTGACATGTACTTGGAATATCCATCTGGAATGAGACAGAGAGAAAGAGAGAGAGAGAGAGGAGGGGGAAGATAAAGATAATTAAATTACTACAATATTTAAGTAGACTCTGGCTTCTATTTGCAGCCATGAATTCACATGAAATCTATCAAACCGGTTGTAATTTCCCTGACATACATGTACATGTATACTTTGTACTCATAGAATAAATTACTATCCACTAAAATGAGATTACACATTGTGTGTGTGCATTCTGTATTGGCTGTAAACAACATTATAGTGTACAGTGACTTCAACTAAATGCCAACATTATGATCATTCCTGCTTTATATTAAATGAATTTAAGTTTGGCAGCAAACAAATGGACAAACATTACTTCATTTATTAGCAGTAACAACAACACAGCATAGCTGTTCACAATAATACTATGCATTATCATTGGCTGGCTATTGGACTCACGTTAACATAATTGGCATTAATATAATCAACAGGACCGTCTAGTAAATGCACTCTTGTAATATCATCTAGTGAGAGAGAGGGGGGGAGGGACGAGAGGGAGAGAGGGAGGGAGGGAGAGAGGGAGAGAGGGAGGGAGGGAGAGAGGGAGGGAGGGAGAGAGAGACGAGAGACGAGAGAGAGAGTGAGAGAGAGAGAGAGATCATGACAGACACAATTTATGTTGTGTGAAAATATCAATCAGGATTGATTCAAAACTTTCTACATGAGAATATGGTGTGTGTGTATGGAGTAGTGAATTTTTAGAGTATTTTTTGTTCAAAGAGCAGCACGGCTTGACTTACAAGCAGTGATGTCTCTGTATCGATTTTTTGACAAATTTTGTGGTAATTTGCTGGCAATGGTCAACATCCCAGGCTTCTTTCTGTAGAGACGCTACAAGAAAAAAAATAAAAATAATGTCAAAAAGAACAAATCAACAATGTATGTACACGCTTACATCAAAACTAACTAAAACAGATCCATTGAGTACACTCTGAAAAAAGAGAAAAAAGAAAAGATAAAACAAGAAGGAAGAGAACAAGAAGGGAAAGCAAAGAAAAGGAAAAGAACAGAAAGGAGAAGTAATAAAAAATAAAGAGAAAGAGAGAGAGAGAGAGAGTAAGATTTATATTATATCATGTGACATTATTCTCTATACAATGTACCTCTTTTAACGAAACCATTGACTCTCTTAGTAAAGTGTGAGGATCAGACGAGAACTGAGGGGCAGAATCACCCGATGCTGTTGGATCAACTCTAGATAGGTCCCTTGGCTTTATGATGAGTACTAGCTGAGGCGGCTGCCTATCTAATGAAGACTTGATAGCAGTGATGACCTAGGAGAAGGAGAATCAAGACTAATGGTTGGGATGTACGTAATGTATATGTACACGTACATAAATGAGTTTGATTTATCAAAATACATTGATTTATTTGTTTATGCATAGAAAGGAACCAGGAGTTTGGATAGTTAAGAGATCATGGGTGTGTGTAACTAATGCAATGTACTGATTTATACAATATGTACTATTATACATGTTACATGCTACATGCTACATGTAGGTTAACTTATAATAATGAAAAAATACAAAAAATAAAAATGAAAAAGAGTGAACAGGAAAAAGATATAGGGCTTGGTATAGGAAGAGGAAAAAGAGAAATATTCAAAAATGTGTATAGGAGGCCACAAAGTACACAAGGATTTAGTAATGCATTATAGTAATGCATTAGGTAAAAAGGAACAAGGAAAACGAAAGGAAAGAATTTTTAACTCACTTCAATGTGTGTTGCTGTATCTGTTGACATACCATTTACAAACAAAACCTGATCACCTTCTTCTAGGGGAGGCTGACACTGAGAAGCCTGAGAGAGAGAGAGGGAAAGAGAGAGAGAGAGAGAGACAGAGAGAGACAGAGAGACAGAGAGAGAGACAGAGAGACAGAGAGAAAGACAGAGAGAGAGAGAGAGAAAGAAGGTGGAAACACATGCAAGTATGTACACATGTAAGGAATCATTTCATGCATGGTTTTCAACAGGATTTTGGCATAGTGCTCAGCTTCTTGTCAGCATTAAAAATCTGGTCAAGGACCCAGTATTGATCCAAAAATCACTAAGAGAGAATTTTCCATTTTTACAATCTTTTCTGATACATATACATGTTTTTATGTTGTGTAGAAAATTTAAGCGGATTCCGATCAAAATTGGATTTTTTTAACAAATTTTTAAAGTTGCTCAAAAACTGGGCCAAAGTCCCTGTACTATAGTACATGGTCTCGGCTCAAATTTTACCAAAAATGACTAGGAGAGAATTCTTCATTTTTATGAATTTTTTTGATGCATATACATGTCCTTATGCTGTGTAGAAAGTTTGAGCTGATTCCAATCAAAATTGGATTTTTTACAGATTTTAAAAGTTGCTCAAAAATTGGGCTAAAGTCCCTGTACTATAGTACATGCATGGTCTCGGGCCAAATTTTACCAAAAATGACTAGGAAAAAATTCTTCATTTTTATAAATTTTTTTGATGCATATACATGTCCTTATGCTATGTAGAAAGTTTGAGTGGATTTCGATCAAAATTGGATTTTTTTACAGATTTTAAAAGTTGCTCAAAAATTGGGCCAAAGTCCCTGTACTATAGTACATGGTCTCGGCCCAAATTTTACCAAAAATGACTAGAAGAGAATTTTCCATTTTTACAATCTTTTCTGATACATATACATGTTTTTATGTTGTGTAGAAAATTTGAGTGGATTCCGATCAAAATTGGATTTTTTACAAATTTTTAAAGTTGCTCAAAAACTGGGCCAAAGTCCCTGTACTATAGTACATGGTCTCGGCCCAAATTTTACCAAAAATGACTAGGAGAGAATTCTTCATTTTTATGAATTTTTTTGATGCATATACATGTCCTTATGCTGTGTAGAAAGTTTGAGCGGATTCCGACCAAAATTGGATTTCTTACTATTTTTTAAAGTTGCTAAAAAAGCTGTATGCTTAAGGCTCAATTGTATGCCTTTCACCAACTTAACAATCATGCTTTGTAGAAAACCCTAGCTGATTCTAAGCTGCATAGTGCTCTCTTACTGGTGAGTCTTCTTTGACTTTGGAGACAAATACAGGTAAGTTAAGATCCAGACCTCCTTTAACATGGAATCCAAACCTTCCCTCAGAATCAGGATTGAGTCTAATCATGAGAAAACCTTCAGAAGCTAAGTCGTCCTAAGAATAAAAATAAATACATTTACATGTACATTATATAGACAATACAATAAAGTGAGAATATATTAATGAATTGTTATCGTTTTTATGACAAATAAAAAGGTAACAAGGCTTACTATTGTCATCTGATTGGCAAATTCTTCTGCTGCATTCGATTCGTCGTAATATTCACCAACCTTTGGAAAAGAAAGTCATTGTAAAAGTGGATGTATATTTTAAAATAATGTGTACCTCTTTGTCGTGATGATGATTGTGACGATCAGATATTTGCAATGTCGTGAAGCCGCTCTCCTCTGTCTCTCCTAACTGGAACTGAAGGAAATCAGCAGCTGTGAAACTATGAGAGAGAGAGAGAGAGAGAGAGGAGGTCATGGTTGATCATATTAGATTTGCATGGCAACTTACTCATCCTCTGCTTCACTTAATGGACTCCTTGGAGAACTCCTACAATAAATAATAACAAAATAATAAATAAAAGTAGCAATAATAATAATAATAATAATAATAATAATAAATAATAATAATAATAATAATTAAAATGATGATGATGATGATAGTAATAATAATACACTTACATAGCAGGTGTGTGCTCTCTGGTAGCTGAGAGTCTTCTTGGTGTTAGTTCACTGGGGCTCTGTCCCCTCCTTACTTCCACTACTGGTCTCCCTCCTCCATAGTCTCTCAGTGAACCTGTTCTTCTTATCTCAGTATTAGCTCTTCTTCTCATTAGGTCATCATTATCACCAACCAGTGGGCTCCTTTTTGGATACCTCTTACTAGGGGTCCTATTCACATAGCAAGAGTAACAGAAAATGTATTTAAAATGGAGAATTCTCTCCTAGTCTTTTTTTAATAAAATTATATCATTTTTACCCAGTACCATAGTACAGGGTAATTTGTCGCATTTTTTTACAACTTAAAAATTCATTAAAAATCCAATTTTAATTGGAATCAGCTCAAACTTTCGATACAACACAAAAACATGTACATGTATATGCATTAGAAAAATTATAAAAATGGAAATTCTCTCCTTTTCAATTTTGGCAAAATTTGGCCCGATACCATGACAAGGACTTTGGCCCAATTTTTTGCAAAATTCGTAAAAAATTTAATTTGGATCAGAATCAGCTCAAACTTTTTACACAACATAAGAACATGTACATGCATCAGAAAAACTGATAAAAATGGAGATTTCTCTCTCAGCCATTTTTATGAAATACCCTGTACTATATACATGTAGTGCATGGTCTTTGACCTAATTTTTGAACAACATAAAAGATCTCAATTTCAATTTGAATCAGCTCAATTCTTGAACCAATACTTATTGCAATCAGTATTGAAAAATTTTGAAGCTATCAAATAGTCATAAAGCATTCTTAGGATCTTATTTTACTTCGATTTGAGAATAGTCAAAAAATAAATAAATAAATCACCTTCTTATTCTCTGTCCATCTCTCGCTATTGACTTGCTAGCTTCAACAACCTGTTTTTCTGTTTTACGACTAATAAAAAAATATTAACAATAATCTCAACTCATCAAATTGATTCCAAAACGTACGTGATTTTGACCTTTGATTTTCTAAAGGGGCTCCCTCTCTGTGGGCCTTTAGATACTTCAGACATTCTAAAGAAGGCGTGGTGCTCTATGCATGCAACCCAAAGTCTCTTGCTGGCCTCGTGATTGTCCATGTGAAATCCAACTACCCTTTCATCCATTTCCTGAAGAGATCAAAAGTTAATGTTAATTTCAATAGTTAATGATTATTCTGTGCATTAGAAGATTTATAAACTAAGGCAGACAAATTATTATTGTAAGAGTAATAATAATAATATTATTATTATAAATAATAATAATAATATTATCACTATTACTATTATTACTATTATTATTACCATTATTACCATAAAAAAAAACAAGTTAAAAACAAGTTAAAAGAAATAAAGAAGGAAAATTAGATAATATAATGTATTTAGTTAAGGTAGGTTAATTTTGAGAAATAGTTTAAGTAATATCAACATGGTCAATGATAATTATTATTATTATTAATATTATAATAATAATATTATTAATTATAATAATAATAATAACAATAGGGCTTTCCCTCTATTCTCATCATAATGTTATCTATGTCTTACATTTTCTATTGTTGTTTTATAATTATAATAATAATAATTATTATTATTATTAGTTTCTTTGTTTTGTTTTTTGCTTTGTTTAGTTTTCCTATAGGGCCTTCCCTCTCCTTTCCCTTTTTTGTTTTTCTCTATTATTAGTAATGCTTTGTTTTTCCTTTTAAATAATAATAATAATAATAATAATAATAATAATAATAATAATAATAATAATAATAATAATAATAACAATAAACTAAACAACTTGCCATTGTTTTTCTTAGCTCTATATAAAACTTTTTCTTTGAGTACGTGATCTTGAGAACCTGTGGCCTGAAAAATAAATAAAATTAATAAACAAAAGCTAATTAAATTATCACACCCTTAACTCTCTCACTCCATCTCACACAACACGCAATTCACAAGAAAAGGAGCTTATTAGGAACTAATAATCTGCTGGAATTTAGCTCATATGACCAAGGCAGGATGCACTTAAATGCATGTACTTATTATTGCATCCATGCATGAACTTATTATGACATGTATCAATGGTGTTTGCTTTCAGGCAATAGGTAAACAGTACACAAGGGCTCACATACCAGTCAGATTAAATTGATAATGATTATACTTAATTATTTAAAATATGGGGAAATGCTAATATTATATGATGAGTCTAGCTACCAGTCTACCACATTCATAAACAAGTCAGGAATCCTCCAATAACAGTATAATCAGGATTTGTGTAAATAGCAAATTGCTTGATATGATAATAGCACTCCATATTAGGAGAGTAATCCATCAGTAGAGCTCAATCACCAATATATTGTTATCTTTAAAACATAATTTATAATGTGACCTAATTGCCAATCTTTATAATTTTCCACAAAATTTAAGTGGTTTACCATAAAAATTATTTTCCACTCACACATTAATTAATTAACTCCTGTGAGTCCCCTCCCCTCCTCTCTCTCTCTCTCTCTCTCTCTCTCTCTCCTCTCCCTCTCTCACTGTACCAAGTAAAAGTGTTTAATTTTAACAAATCTTTAAAGACGACTATCCCATGTGAGCAGACCCCAAGTGATATAGATACTCCTCTATCATCAGCAGCAGGATATTGCTCCACTCCATAGAACTCCAGCTGTCTTGCATACTGTAAGAAGTTGTACTCTGCCTCACTAGTGGTCTGTCCTCTTATCTCTTGATGTATCTCAGATACTCTCTTCTCAAACACTTCATCCTAAAAATGGACACACAGTATAAATATACATGTACTATAATACTATTTTTAGTTAAAATACAGTTTTCATGACAGGATTTTGGCATAGTGCTCATGCAGCTTCTTGTCAGTGATTGTCAAGTTGCTCAAAAAATTAGGCCAAAGGCCCTGTGCTATAGTATAGGGTATTTCAACAAAAATCACAAGGAGAAAATTCTCCAATTTTTAAATTTTTCTGACACATGTACATACAGTATACACCTTCTTATGTTGTACTAAGTGAAGTTCAAAGAAATTACAATGCACACACACACACACACACACACACATGTGTACATCACCACAACACATGCACATTTGTATGATTCAGCTCTCACTTGATTTGAAATGAAACGGAATTCAGAGACATAACCAGGTGGATGTCCTACAGGGTCATAATCACCTAACTCAGCTAAGAGGAGAAACAAAGAGAAAGAGAGAGAGAGGGGGGGGAGGCAAGAGAGAGACAGAGATATTATAACAAGATTATACTATACATGGCAGATGCACTTACATGTGTACAATATCCCCAAGCTACATACATGTACATGTACATACATGTAGACATTCATGCAATAAACTTAATAATGTCTTAGTGCCTTGTGGTCAAACAGACACTTGCTAATGAGATTAGCCAGTTATAGATACATACACATAAAAGCATACTTGACTAGATTAGTAATCAATTACTGATGAATGCATATGATATGCTCACAGTGAGTTTGTGTGTGTGTATGTGAGTTTGTGTGTGTGTACCTTGTAATGCAAAGGCGCTTAAGATTGCAGCTGCTTCTGTTGGACATATCAACCTATTGAAATGTCAATAAGGTAAGGATTTCCTCTTCCTTTATCTCTCCCCTCTCTCTTTTTCTTCCCTCACCTGTTCTCAAGAAGATCTTTCTTGATTTGACGAAAGAACAAATACCGTGTTAGCTCTTCGACGAGAAACACGGGATCCGAGGTATAAAACTTGACACGAAGCTCTAGGACGACACTACAACTCCCACCTACCAGTAATAAGACAAAATAAAGACTAATATGGTCATTACTTAATATCGGGAGCATGTACAGTGTACATGCATACAATACAATATCTAATAATAAAGGTTTGTCCCTATACAAGTCCATAACATATGCTAACTACATGTATTATGTAATACACTATAAATAAGTTTGCAATGTGTATAATATATACTAGCTATTATGTAACACACTACATTTATTTTATATTACATTTATTTTATACACATGTAGGTTTTTCCCTTGTACAATGATGAAACTATTTAAATCAACAGAGCAAGACAACAGGAAAGCTATCACAAGCCAAAGTAATCACAATGACTGGAGTTCTAACTACTTATCAAGACTGTAATGTCTGGGATCAACCTGTTTGTCAATAAGGAAAGCAGAAGGGGAATATAACACATAGTGGTTCACTCAATTTCAGTAGTCGGACAGGACAGGATATCATGCTCCCAGTACACATCTATAGACACTTAAAATTGAATACTGTGGATTGATTAAAATTTGCATTAAAATTGGATAAATATAGCAACAGCCAATCATTAATATTCTGTTGTACTATTAAATGTAATATCAGCCAAAATATAATATTAATAATCCAATTATTGTGTTAAACTTTACACAAAGTCAACATAATATCATGAGTAAAGTAAAGACTGAAAGGAGCTAGAATAAACAACAGTGTAACCATGTTAAAGGTTAAATCACCTCTCATGAAAATGAAGTATAAATGCTGTATAGTGGGAAATCTTGGAGGGGATTAAATTTGGCAAATTTGGCATTTTGATAGCAAAATAAAAATTCACCATTTTAAGCCATTATATGCATGCTCAATGGCACATGGCCACAAATTCGCCAAATTAAAAACCTACCAATCACCAAAATTTAGCAATTCGTCAAATTTTAGCCCCTCCAAAATTTCCCGCTTACAGTATACCATTAACTATTATTATTATTATTATTATTATTATAGATTTAACTATAGAGTTAAGTTTTGAAAATTATCCATACAATTACCATTCCATCAAAAACAAAACCAAAAACAATGAATAAAAAGAGCAACAACAACAACAACCAAATACAATGACGACACAATGCCACATGAATATAGTTAACTTTTAATCTTCTAATATTTACTAAGATTTGTTTACATGTACACAAAAGCCCATCACTGGCACTGATAGGACAAAAGAATGGACATCATGCAGAGAGAGAGACAGACAGACAGAAAGAGAGAACAAGAATCATGCCTTTGAAAGATAAATAATAACAAATCTATCATCATTATCCTACATAAATCATCACCATTATGTCATTTTCATAGGAACAAATACACAATAACTTGTCACATTCTTTCCACATGCCATTCAAGCTACTTAATAAGCACAGTGCCAACAATGCATGTTCTTTTACATTAGATCACAGGTAGTGTTGCAATAAAATTCACACAAGCATCCTTATGCATCAATTGGATCCACAAGATTCCATAGTCCACCCACATATAGTGGCAAATAGAACTCTATCGCCTTGGGTATGACAGTGCTAGACTGAGGAATGCACCCTAACACATATCCACTAATTATATGTACAGAATAATGCAATGTACATTAGAGGTTGTGGTTAGATAAGTTTGCAGCTATAATTGGGCAAAGAAGGAAGGGAGGAAGCTAAAGAAAAGGGAGAGAGACATCAATTCATCTAATGTGATTCAGTCTGAGTCAACCTTTGAAATGAGGCAGTTCATGGAAAACCATTTTACATGGCTGTGTGTGTCACACGTGCAGACAAAAAAATGGTTAGCAGGAATTAATTAATTGAAGAGTGATAGGTGTGTAATCTTACCTTTGAATTGCTTTTTTAGTGGCTTGTCACTTTGCAGCCATTTCTGAAGAGAAAGAGAGAGAGAGAGGGAGGGAGATTATAGTTATGCATGTGCGTGTATATGTAGGCTGTAGCTGCCAACTGACATCATAAAAATCATTAATGAAACTGGTAGACATGCACAGACAAACAACACTAATTTATATCAAGTCAAAGAGTTCAGAAGCCACCAACAAACCATAGACCAAGACACATCCATGAAGGAACCCACTGTACAATATAATAAATAAATAAAATGTTATACAACATGCCTGCACCTCAGACACAGGGACAGTTGTCAGCATCACACACTATGCACACTTACAAATGCAACAAATTCACAATCATTCCCATTTAATTCACAGACAAATGAGTATAGTCATTACAATTATAAAATGGGCCCATTTGTTTATTAGCACTGAGTACACACACACACACACAACTTACATTGTAGCCATTCTCACTATAGGAAAGTCCAAAGTAATCTCTCTCAATGATGTCAGCATGTGCATAGACTTCGTCCAGCAAAGTCGATCCTAGGCTATGTTTCTGATCAAGAGGGAGAGAGAGGGAGAGATAGAGAGGGGAGAGAGGGAGGGGGAGAGATAGAGAGGGGAGACTAATTCAATTACAGACAATGGGAGCATATGATAGTCTAGGTATACGATTGTGTTTACAAATGAACAATGTTTTTAAGACTTGACAGCTTGTCCTTAAGAAAGCAAGAGACAGAGAGGTCAATCAGAGCATTGACAATTTAAAACATTACACAAATGAATACAATTTGACAAGCACTAGCACATGGATAGTTGTACATTTACATGTATGTCTGTATAATAAAATATTACTCTTACATTCAAATCACAAGTGAACATGGAGTCGTCCAGTAAAGTAATGTGGCACTGTATCAAACCGCTTGATAGTTTAGCTGCTGCACTCTCAGAGACACTTTGAGAAGATGGCCTGTCGGTAGGGCTGACTGCAGCCAGCCTATAAGAATTCTTCTTCCGTACGCTTGGGATACGCTTAAGAAACGCCATGATCCCTCAAGGAATAAGCTAGAGCCACTGTCTGTCTGGGGCGGCTGGCTGGCAAGGAAAAGTGTGGTCTCGTATGGCAATGTTCAAGAGAAAAGGAAGAGAAGAACCAAAAGGGTGTCCTCCTTAATTTTTATTTTTGAAATTAAAGAGGGCGGGGTCAAGGCGTGGCTTCAATTAATAAAACCATTGAAGTCATTTTCTCTTTCTAGTCTCTAATTTCTCCTCCATTTTTAGTTCATTCAGACTATGGAAGAGTCCAGATGCAATCTTTACATGCACAGGGAAGCTCTTGCTTGGGCTCCAAAGAAGAAGCGGCTTCCTGTGACCCTAGTGACTGGATTCTTGGGCTCTGGTAAGACCACCCTCCTCACCCACATACTCAACAACAAGGAGAATCTCAAGATTGCAGCTGCTGTTAATGACTTTGCCTCTCTTAACATTGACGGTCAAATAGTTCGTGGGGTTGTGGGTGGGAAAGAAGGCGTGGTCGAACTCTCAAATGGTTGTCTCTGCTGCTCTGTATCTGGCGAGTTTCGTAAAGCCGTCTGGGCGTTACTACAAGACGCCGACATTGGAAAAATAGATTATCTTGTTGTGGAAACGAGTGGAGTGAGCGACCCACTACAGACGATATCAGCACTAGAAGAAGAGTATGGACAAATGTACCGAGTAAGACTAGACGTGGTAGTGACAGTAGTTGATACGGACTATCTCTCCTCAAGACTTAAAGACGACTCTCTCTCTCGCTCCGTTGCTGCTGACAGCCAATTGAAATGTGCCGACGTTGTTTTGCTAAATAAACGAGACCTTGTTTCCGAGGAAGACCTTGAAATGGTTAAGAGTTATCTTTCTTCCCTCGTCCCTGGCGTTTCCATTTATCCTTGTCGCTATGGTGCAGTCCCCCTTCACTGGATACTGGAGGTCAGTGAAGTACCAAAAGGACCTCAACTTGTCTCGCATGAGAGAACTTCCTCCGCCTACACAATCAGTGCAGTGGGTGGAGTCAAGAATGTTGCTAGGAAAGGACGAGATCTAAGCGGGCATGGAAAGAATCATTTATCAGCTGATGAGTTCCAGTCAATTGTTTTCGAAAGTTCTTCCCCTTTTTCGTTATCGTTATTTCAAGGGTTTTTGGGTAATGGATTCCCAGAGGGTGTGGCTCGCATGAAAGGGACTGTTTGGTTTAGCGAAGCCCGTTCATGTCTCTACTCCTTTCACATGAGTGGTAGGAACCGCTACGAGATCACACCCCAAGAAACTGGACTAGGAGGACCTCCAAAAGTTGAATTGGTAGCTATTGGAAAATCCGGTAACATGGATAGGGTTTTTAAATCATTGGAAAATTGTGTACAGAATAAGCAGCTGCCATCGTCAATGGAAGAGGACGTTAAAGATAGACACAAAACTGTATGCAATTTGATAAAGGCTCACGATTATTTTATTTTAGAGGAGGAAGAGCATAGTGACATTAGTGATTTCTCTTATGTTGATTTCCGTGTGTCTGGTTGCATTGATTATGGAGTGACTGAGGAGGAAGCAAAAGGATTCCACGGGATTAATTTCGACAAAATGAACAGAGAAGTTTCCCTCAGGCTGAATGGATCAAGCGAAACCGTCAGTTTACTGCCGGTACTACTCTCAAACGGGACACAGGTATTAAGGCATTCTGTAGCAAAGGGAGCTGGTTTTGAAGAAACATGGCGTGTACTGATTCCTATAGCAGAAAAGGTTGTCAGCGAGACGTTCAAATCAGTTGGTGTCTGCAAATGTGGACGATAAAGTGGATAATGAATTCAAATTTTGGTGCAAAGCACACCTGACCTGTTATAAATTTATTATTACTATATTTAGATAATATTAGAAATGAAATATCTATAAAATGTTCTTAATAATTATTATCAAAATATTAATTTTAACAAATTTTAATTAATAACTAAAGTTAATAACTTTACACCCACGTGTTAAAGGGTGGGGCTCGAATATTTTGGGTTTGGCTGAATAAGGAAATGAAAAAATGACTTCAAATCACTCTCACTGTGAGGCCTGTTTCTCTCTCTACTGCTCCTCTTTTGAAGGCTGTCTCTATACTAGCTGTCCAGCATGTAGCATTAACCTTCACGAGTGTAAACTTGAGGATCACCAACTCGTTTGTCGAGAGGTAACAGTCCCCTGCATTAACAGTGATTATGGCTGCACAGCAAGACTAAAAAGACACAGCATGCCTCGTCATTTGACTGAGGACTGCTCCCTCATTCATACTGAGGACATTCCTTCTACTGAGATGGTTTCGTGTCAGCATTGCTCTCAGACGCTGCAAGAAACCGACCTCAACGATCATTACTTGATCTGTGATTTTATTCCAGTTCCATGCACCAATGCTTCATTTGGTTGTGGTCTGATGCTCAGACGCATTGATATTAACTCTCACTTAAAGTCTTGTCCTGCGAGTATCATACAGTGTTTGTATGCACACACTCGAGCTCAAAGATTAGAAGACGAAGAATTTTCCTTCAGAGATGAAAACGAGCAACTCCCAGATGAGAAATTTCTCTTGCACGATAAAGAGGCATCTTTGCATTCTTCCCTCCTCACTTTCACTCCAAGCAGAAGCCTAAATTTCTATCCTATGCTTCGGGATTTGGACGACCACGAGACACTTGCTAGAGGGAAAGGAGTCCTTAGCGATACCTCGTTAGTGTGTGGGCGGTTTGTACGAAGAGACCAGTACGAGTCTCACCTGCTCTCTCACTTGGAACTAGTCGATGACCTACCACTTAAAATCCAACGCTGTCCTCTCACTCAATTCGGTTGCACTCATGGGACTGTTGTCTTCCGGCCATCACCGATAGGATACATTTTAGATTATAATAAAGGATTGCATAGTTTTTATATCACACAGGAGATCTCATCAGAAGCTAATGGAGCCTCTCATAGCCAGTATGCAATCAATATTGCTAAAAAGCAAGAGCTTGCTCAATATGGATATGGTGAGGATGGGGAAGGAAGTTATGATGTTCTCGGGCAGCTCCCGTTAGAAATTTTGCTCCAAATTATGTCACATTTGGACTCATTGAGTCTTTGGTCTCTCTCGCAGGTCAACAGGTACATAAGGAGCATGTGTGAGGATTTGCTTACAACTAGAGGAATAGTGTATTTCTACTGGGGAAAAATGGTTAGTCCAATGTCTTGGGAAATGTATTTTCACTTTCTTTTAATCTTTTTTTATTTAGTTTAACAAGAGGAATTGGATAGAAAGTCCAAAGGTAATAATTTAATTTTTTATTAATTATTATTATTATTCTCCTTGATTTATAGATATGGACATTTCCCCAAGTTTTTTCTAACGCTCATCGCTGGAGGATCGACCCAACTGCCTTTCCCTGTGCACACATGCAGTCGTGTGAAACATATGCATCAATAGTGCAGTCTGAAAGACCAGAGTTCAGTAAAGAATGCATGTATGACCTTAAAGAAGCAAAATACATTCCATTTTCAACTAGTAGGAACTAAATTTTTAAAAATATGTTTATAGACAGAATTTATTACCATATTATTTATTTTTTATTTCTGATGGGAAGTGGAAGTTGATAATTATCAGTTTTAATTTTTTTAATATTATAAGGACAGTGTATGAGGTGTTCATTAATGGTTGCTACTGGGCTAACTGGCTCCCATGAAATTACTGGAGAAATAGTTCTTGGAAAAGTCCACTTCTATAAAAGTATAGCATGACTTCTACACTATGTATCAATATACTATTTACCTTTCTACTTTGATGCCATCTATCATCAATATTCTTCTCCCAACAAAAATAAATAACTCCTTTTACATTTAAAAACGTCTCACAAAGGTCTCTAAAAATCCGATTTACTTGAGAAAGACTCCAAAGACTTAGAGAGTCCAGATAACCAATGATATTATATAGGAGCTCAACTGGTAGGTGTTCTATTGCCGTGCTATGCTGATGCTCCACATTCTGTAATGTGTCACTCACTTTGTATGAGACAGTAAAACAGGACATTAATGCACTATAATCAGTATGTCCTCTTGATGGCTCATAGGTCTGTACACCAAAGCGACATCCAAGAGACAGCAGAGGACAACGTATGATTCTCATCGACAAGAAATCAACTTCAAGGCTTTGATGATTGAAAGCATGGGACTGGAATTGATCTCTTCGTAAAATAGCTCCACAGAAAAAAGAGTGGCAGAGTTTGGAGGAGTCTTTCCTGTGATAAATGTACGATTGGCTAAGATGATAGTCTGAGAGCATAAGTCTATAGTTATTTGTTAAAACCTTAGAAAATTTTTCAGGAGCAATAAAATATTCACTGCCTACGGTGCACCATAGACTAGTCTTTTTAGCATCGAAAGGTTTGTTCCCTCCCTCTCTGCCAGTAATAATGCTTGGTGGTTCTGCTGCAATCATGATTTTGATGTCTTGTTGCAGTAACTTCTCATCTGCAAGGAGGTCATGATGAGCTGATTGGCTCCAATTATAGTCCAATTGCCACCTCTGGCGAACAAAGCGGCACAAGACAGAAGAAGCAGGGCAGGACTCCAAATGAGGTCCTAAAAGAGACCTCCTTAGCACTTGATCACACCCATACTGTTGATTAATACAAGGAACGGGGGAGTCCGGACAAATACAGGCAGTGTGCTCGCTCAGCTTGCATTTGTGGAGTCTTGTATCACAATTAGGACAGGGAACTACAGGGCAGGAGGACCCCTGAAAGTCACAGAAAGAGAAGAAGCAAAAATTGCAATGATGGTGATCATCCATTGATTAATCAATAAATTTATTAACCGCAGGCTGACCCCGCCCATATTAATTAAATGACGTCATTGGTAAGAACATTATAAGTACTATAAATACCTAAAACTATAATAAAATTGGTGCTTTGGAGCCTTTTTTAGCAAAAATAGATAGGTAGAAAAATTTGTGCATCTAACAATCTCATCCTGCAAAAATGAAAATTAAATTGGTCAAGGACCATTTAATACAGTCTTTTGTCATCAAATTTTTGAGCAACTTTTAAAATGTGTAAAAATTCAAGTTTGATCGAAATCAGCTCAAACTTGCTACACAGCATTAGTGCATGTATATGTATCAAGAAAAATTATAAAAATAAAGAATTTTCTACTTTTCATTTTTGACAAAATTTGACCAAAATTGCTGTACTATAGTACAGGGACTTTAGCATAATTTTTGAGCAAATTAAAAAACTTGTAAAAAATCTAATTTTGATTGAAATCAGTTAAAAGATTCCACACAACATAAGAACATGTATATGCATCAAAAAAATATCTAAATGGAAAGTTTTCTCTGAGCTATACCGGTATGCTATTTTTTTACAAAATACCCTGTACTATAGCCCATGGTCTCAGGTCAAGTTTTAGTACATCTCATAATTTTGATTGAAATTAGATACTTAGCATCAGAATTGTGCCCTCTTTATTATTTCATCATAGGTTATCACATATTATCCCACAAAAGAATGGAGAAGCCCCACAAATTGTCGGTTTCCTTGGCAATCCAGACAGCTCTATCAAAACCTTGGTCAGCCCAGGCTATTATATTGCTAAACTAACTCTTTGCTAATTTGTTACAGCCTTGCCTCTTTTTGCTTCAGACATAACAACAAGCCCAGCTTAATCTCCTAATGGTTACATTAGCTGTAATTATAATAATTCTTTATTCTGGCATTAATATAAGCTAGGTACTTTTGATTTTTGAATAGAGTAGATTGAGCAGTTGCCATGTTTATTGTCAAAGAGTGCCCGTGAGAGAATTCCCTTCTTTGCTCCTGTTAGGTAAGACATTAACAGGATGCTCTAATTGACAAAATAGTGGGCAGTCCACATTGAGTGTGTGAAGCAGTTATGAAAACATGCCTTTAGCAATTAGCGAACCTCTAAGTTTTGAATTTTATGTACCATTTAATGAAAGAGGGACTTGCTCAAGGCGGGTAGTTGCAATTCCATAATTATTCCTGATCGCCTTTAACCAGGTGTCTATTTCTTACGATTCTGCCTAAATGTCTTCATCAAGTGACATGCAATGGATGTGTTGTCCCTTCACACAAGAGATGACAGCCTAAGCAACATATGGTATGCATAAACAGCTCTCCCCACAGACCTCCCTAAAACTGGAGCCTCTTCTCTCTAAATGATATTCATTCCCTTTCCAGCTATACTCCTCCACTGCTGACTCACCTCATGGGTATACATCAGTTTAAAAAAGCCCGCCAGGTGCAGACACAAAGTCCTAACCAATGTTTGAACATCAGATTTTTATCTCACCTTTTCTCGGCCATAATGTTTTGATGTCTCTTTTGATAAGACCAGAACTGTATTTTTAATATTTGACCAGTTTTCTTAGAATGCTAATCTAATTGTGTAAACTGACCAGTGTAGGATTTAGAAATAACGAGATCATTGTTCGGCAATTAAATTTTAAGATCCTTGTATTTTTTTATCCTTTCAATAGATTCCTCAAGAGCTGTTAAAATTGTTAATTAGAGCTAGCTCTGCACTGGATAGCTATAGGGTGGAGTTCCATGTTATGGCTTCCTTCCTTTCACTATAAAGCAGGTTCTAACCTTCAATACAGCCATTGTTGTGCAGCCTTAAAATGTTTCAAAGACAGCTTCTCCTTTTACTCTTTCTACTACTGGTTTCCATCTGCAATGGATTTCGACATGTCATATTGAGCTCTTGCAAAGAATGCTACAAAACGCTTGACAGTCCTCCTGAGCCAACCACAGAGGAAGCAGAGACTCTCCTCTCAAGATGCTGGGCGATCTGTGTTGACAAGGTACCCACTTAAGCACTTGACAGACTAGCCGCAATGTTTGTGCGATTACAAGTATTCATTGCTTAAGCCACTTGATAGCCCCGGCCGCGCACTTACAGGCTATGAATAATGAAACTCTCTTATCTTTCTCCTCCCTTGCATATTATAGCTTCCAGAGTATTGTCCATCCTGCTCATTAGTCCCTTCATTCCAAGTGAGCCCACTGCAATAAACCATTACATTATAATCACTGCACTCTTTGCTATACAGTCATCACAGTGGAGCTCTCTCAACTATTATGAGATCCGTAACTGCACTATGTATCAAAAGGTAAAAAAAAATAGTATTTTTGCAAGAAATTTTATGTTTTCAACAGCTTGCAGACTGCCAAAGAGGATGTACATTGGCTCACTCAAATAGAAGTAGTACTCCTGATACAGCTAGCTGCACAAACCAATGCGTAAGTACTTATTAAGCAAGACAACGATGCATGATTGATGCTTGCCTGTTTCAGATATCTCAGTGTCCTAATGCAAGTAAATACGACTCAGTAGACTGCAGTGTTTCATGTGTAAGTTTGATTGATATACTAAGAATAATTATGTGTACTTGTTATTAGGATGATCTATGCTGTGAAAGTGGTTGTAGGGCATACTCTGAAACGAATGGTAAAGCATATTAAAATGATACCTTATATCATAATTACTTCATTAATAGACTCTTTATCACTGCCATTGCCTTTGGAAGAACCAAAATTAACCTCTACCACTACTTTAATAGGGGAAGATGGAACACAAAGGGAAGATGGAGGACGATTTGTGTATAATTTTATGATTGATCAATCATCAATGGAGAGTAGTGGGGATGGGATGATAAGACAAACAAGAATGACAACATTTGTCTTCAAAATAAAGTTTAAAAATAAGACACATTTTATCTCAAAGGTAAGAAGAGAGCAATACCAAGCCATGCGTCACCCTTTCATTACAGAGAACCAGCACTGGCATATTAAACATTAGATATCTCTCATGCGAGGAAAATGTCCATATCTCTTACAAAGCAGTGATGCATGATAGCACAAGCAATTACTCAGAGGAGACTATTGTAAATGTTGATGGTAGCAAAGAATTGCTTGGATATCCTGAACAAGTGATGGGTTGGCCACCGGAGTCTATTCATGATCAATCCATAGACACCTACTTTGAGGATGATTTGCGTGAAGGCTACACTGGACATGCAGTTAGTTACTTTTCATGGATAAAACCAAACAGTATGCAAGGAAATAAATCTCATAATCTGTTTAGCTTGTGCTTTATATAGACTCACAATTTATTAGTCATTACCAATTGAGGCTGTTATCCCAGGAGAGTGACTGTGGTGGTGTACACGTTCTCTATGAATACTGCATTGATAGAGTAAAAATAATTTATACGATAATGATAATTTTTAATATTTGTCCACTTCATTTAGGATGCTACTAGCATGATAATTGAGGCAATAAATAATACACATCCATTGATGTTTGATTGCACGTACCTAGCCACTGTAAGCTATTTGATGTTATTCCCATGTTATTCTCCTTTTTATTCCTTAGCTCATTGTTTATCCTCAAATTCCAGGTATTGCAACCCAGCAGCAGGCGATAAGGGTAAAACGTAAGTTATCATCAAGACTCTGCAATAGATCCAAAAAAATACTTTTCATACAGCAGTAAGTGACCCAGTGGCGCCAAAGCTATTTTGTCAGCGGGAGTTTCAGCCTGACGGTACGATGACTCTGTACGCTACATGGGATGCATCTTATGATGAAAAGTTATTTGAGGCAATGGAATCGTTTGTTGTAACACTGCAATTATTTGATAACCTAACTCAGAATATTATTGTAACAGAGATCTATGAGCCGGAATACATTAGACCAAAAGTGAGATATGCATATATTGTATGGAGTGCTCTTTATGTAGCAGTTTAGATCAATGAGACAATTTATGTTTATCAGGCGAGAAATAAGCGAGTAGTTAATGATCATGATCAACTCTATAGAATATTGGTGAGTCACTTAATCTATCATTATCTTTATCATCATTATTTATTATTACTTATTTTTATTTTATAAAGGTGACTTCAATCAGTAACAATCGTTTTCCATGGAGGAAAATGCCCCCACGCTCCGTATGTTACCTGCATACTCTAGCAGTCGAGCCTGATGCCATCAATTCTAGTACAATTGAGATACGAAAGCTAGAATTTACAAATGCTAACTTGTTCTTAAACCTCTCGTGGGAGCCTTCACTAGCACCTAATGGTAGAGTCACTAAGTATATGGTCCGTATAGCAAGAAACTCATTGCTTCCATCAGAATCAGACAGTCCAACGGATTATTCATATAAGCACGCCACTGACGTGAGACTTTGCAGCCATAGATACATTAGATCTATTTTAATATTTTTCCCAACAGGGCACTGAGACTGAAGCTGTCGTGAACACGAGTGAGATTTATCAAATAGACAAAGTTTCTTGCCTTTACCTTCAGGTATACGCATAGCTAGCTCATCTATTATTACTATTTATGTCATTTTGTAATTAATACAGATTCGTTTAATGAATGATTTCTTATGGAGCAATTGGACTAAGCCGGTCCTCCTGTACAAATATCCTGATAATCCTTTTTGTGACTTCACTCCAACTATTGGTGTCACTATAGATACGACCATTGAACCAGCTGAACAAAGACCAGTTGGTAAGGAGCATGACTACATAATGTAATTTGTGCCTACACTTGTCTCTGTAACCATAATAAGCAACTATTGCTGGACGGTGAGAACCAGCCGAATGGACTCATCAATACCTGCCAATAATATTGTATTTCCTCTCCATAGGAACTATTGTTGGAGGAGTCTTTGGTGGCCTTTTCGGTTTTGTTCTCCTCAGCCTTTTTTGTACAGGGATTTTCATCCTCTGTAGGAGATACAGGAGAAGAAATAGATACCTGGAAGCTTTCAAGGTAAGATATACAAATGAATTTCTACTCTTCAGGACTGAGATAATATTAAATATTCCACTTGATTCAACCATATTAATAATTAAATTTGCTTTGTCTGAAGCTAATGTGACATACTCATATACTTAATGATGTACGTGCACATCCATTGTGTGACTGGACAAAGCTCTTATTCTCATTAATCCCAAGCTCATGTTCTTCCTCTCCTACAGGATGATGTCAATTCTAATGCTCTTTACATCAGAGGGCCAATGAGCCCAGCTGTTGTCTTCCCACCAAAATCCCTTGACTCTCCAAGACTAGACGAGTGGGAGATTCCTGCCAACCTGGTTGTTGTTGAGAAGAGACTAGGCGAAGGATGTTTTGGAGAAGTGTTCCAGGGTGTTGTGAAGGGTCCCATCAATAACTCAAAAGTCCAGGCATCATTTAAGAACGCTATATGCCCAGTGGTTGCCATAAAGCTACTTAAATGTAAGTGTATGATAATTACATGCATGTACTCGTAATTCTATTCATTTTAATTTTTTATAGCCACGGCTTCAGGAAGTGAAAAGATGGATTTCCTACAGGAGATAGAGACAATGAAGTGCGTGGCAAAGGGGAACAATCCTCACGTTGTGAATATGATTGGCTGTGTGACCATACAGGAGCCGCTCTGTCTCATCACTGAGTTTGTTAAGCATGGAGATCTTCTCTCTTACTTGCAATCTATAAGAAAGATGGTAAGAATGCACGTATGTGTGTATGTACATGTATGTACATGTATGGTAATTGGTATTATTTATTTGGAGGCTGGACTGTGGGTTTAGGATATGATAATGTAGTCCTGGCTTCTCTATGGGTCAGTGATCATTTCTCAAAGTACACTCACACCATTGAAGCCTAATAATAATGTCCTTCATGCATCACTAATCATTTATGAGGACATTGCACTCTTATATTAAAGCTAGTTTTACATTCGACGAAACGGTCAAAAAGTGCGTGGGCGATTTGACCTTTTGACGCAAAAACGCTTTGAAGTTGACGCAAAATTGGTCAAATTCAATTTTGCGTTCATTTGCATTGCGTTTTGTGTTGAGTATAAACCAGGCTTTAGACCCAATTATGTATACATACATGCACCATTATCTTTTCATGCATTGTTCCAAGCATCGAAAGTGCACTCACAAATACATGTATGTCTACAAGCTAATTTATAATTATTTAAAATTGACAATTAGAGTGATGCGTACCTTTGAATATTTATTATTGTATTTTTGTAGATAGCATATAGACAAAACCAGGCGAGTAATTCAGCCAAAACAGGGTCCAAAGCCAGCGATCCTAACCCATACATGGTGAGGAAGATAGACAATAGTCGTCTCTAATTATTATTATTAGTAATTGATTGCTTTTTGTTGTATTGTTCAGATACCCTCACTGGAGGTTGATTCTCCTTCAAGGAAATCTGTAGTGTCAGTCCCGGATGGACCTTATTCTGAACTGGGGGAGATCGACTCTGTCAATTTACTATCATTTGCATATCAGATAGCATCAGGAATGGTAAGAGATAGAGAGAAAAAAAGGGCACTACTATACTGTATAATCAGAGCACTGTATATCAATATTTCTTTGTCATTCTTTCCATAGGAATTTCTTGCCAGTTTGGGCATAGTCCACAGAGATCTCGCTTGTCGTAATATTTTAGTGGACGATGGGAAGTCGCTCAAAATATCGGACTTTGGGATGTCCAGGCTGGTAGCTGCTAATGACGTGTACATAAAGAACACTCGTGGGCGCATGCCTTGGAAGTGGATGGCAATAGAGTCCATTACCAATAGAGAGTTCACAACAGCATCTGATGTGTGGGCCTATGGTGTTACACTCTGGGAGATAGCAACACTTGGTAAGAGAGAGAGAGAGAGAGAGAGGGAGAGGGAGAGTTGCTTTTCCAAATTTAAAATGCTTAGCGCAAAATTCCTACATAAGATAAGGGCATTGATAATTTTAAAATAAGATTTTAATAATAAGTTCTAAAGATGTTTAAAACTATAAATTTTGCAGTTACTTTATTAGTAATGCGGTAGCGTTACTAAGTAGGATTCACCCCCAAACAAAATGGCTGCCATGACTTTTGCAGCCTTGCTATATTCAGATTATAATAAGTCAACATTACTTTGTTTCTTGTGGATAGGTGGATTTCCTTATCCTACTATTACTAACTCGGAACTGTTGGAGCACCTCCAGAAAGGAATAAGACTGGAGAAGCCAGAAAACTGCTCTGAGGACGTGTAAGCAACAAACAACATCTAGTGTAAACAGTTTAATTTTATAATCGTTTGACTAATTAATCACAGAATCCACCACCCACCGGATTGCTAATCAAATTTTGCTTTAACAGTATAGTGCCAGGGTTTCCCTCAAAGCATGCTACGTGAGCTAAATGCATGCTTCATGAGCTGACAAGCACTATGATAGTACACATACATGGCTTTTGGAGCAACATTAAAAATTTAGCTAGAACTTGCTACATGGCATAAAAATTTATGTATATGCATCAGAAAAATATAAAAAATGAATAATTTTCTTCTAGTCATTTTTGGCAAAATTTGACCAAGGACCTTGTACTACAGTACAGGAACTTTGGTCCAATTTTTGAGTAACTTTAAAAATTTTGTGAAAAAACTAATTTTGGTCGGAATTAGCTCAAACTTGCTAGACAGCATAAAAACATGCATGGGTATCAGAAAAAAATTATAAAATTTGAGAATTCTTTTGAAGCCATTTTTGACAAAATACCAATTTTTGAGCAGTTTTAAAATCCACTGACAAGAACCTGCATATGCACTATGCCAAAGCCCTGTGAGTAGTGCTAATATCACACAGCATAAGCTTAGTTGCATTAGTACATTATGCTTATACGCTATATTTGATAACCAAAGAAGTGAATAATTGTAATTGTTGTCAATTTTGTGTATACTAAACCATATATAGGTAATTATACAACAAAACTAAATTAAACTGTAACCTAACAATTCAGTGCTATCTGTGATTGTACACAGAGGTCATTTTATAATCTTTTCTGTGTTCCTTTAGGTATAAAATAATGCTTGAATGTTGGAAGAGTGATCCTTCAGAGAGACTCTCCTTCACTGCTCTACGTGCCAAGTTTGACAGCCTCATATCCGGCCAGCAGGGGCATGTCCCGTACATTGATCTAGACATAGACGACTGTAAACCTTATTACACTACCATTGATTCAGACAGTGAAGAAAAGCAAGCTAGCTCTGATGCAGGCACTCTGACATCCATTGACTCAATATCTCCATTACCTCGAGAGATCAGTAGCACACGCTTTGATGTTATCCGTCCAATGCTTGATTCTAGCAGCGAAGGGCTCCCCCGCCCAATTGAGAATCCCTATGTTGATACTCCAACAAAGACCAAACCTCATGAAGTGAGACTTGATGAGGATCATGATGTATTTGAGTCTCCATTGAAGAAAGGAGGAGGAGGCTGTATGGCAGAAGTCGCTTGATTGATGAAATGTACAGTTGACTTTGACTTTTTTTTGCATATAGTTCATCACTAACTGTCACTTGCTTTTTTGTATTATACTGTACAATAATAATAATGATTATTATTATTATTACTAATATTGATAACATTTGTGTTTGTTTATTAATTAATACCTAGTTATGATTTGTATTATTTTGTAAATAATAATAATATTTTTTGTAAATATTGCTTTGTACTGTAGAGTTATTTTTAAAAGAGTGCTTGGTGTTTGTCACGTGTTGTCAATAGGATGCATTCCATAGGTCTATCTGTTGTACTAATCTTGTGTGCAGACAACAGTTGATTAGCCTGGCCTAACATGTGGTCAAAAAGGTGGGCAGTGTTATGCAAATAAAGCCTTAGCAATATTTATATAACATCAGTGGTTACGCAATATAATAGATCAGATAGTCCCAATATAGTAGCAGTGTAGCCAGGCAGGGAACAAAAACAACTTAGCCATCAACAACCTTCTCGATCTGTAAGCAGTTGCTCAAGGACACCTAGAGTACAAGGTGAGTCTCCCTCATCAAAGGAAGGGATGGTTTGTAAAACACAGGATCAGCTCACCACAAATATCCAGAGAAGATCTCTAGATCTCATTCATTTCTCTTACACTGTAGATCAGCTACTTATCAGAGAAAGATGCCTCCTCTAGTGATCTTCCTAATGGTCCTGGTCACTCTTACCAGAAGCCCTTATTCTGCTTCACTCAGCCCCATTGGTTCTGGCACAGGTGGAGAAGAAGAGTGTGTCATTGAGCCCAATGAATGCAGGCCACCACAGCAAAGGCTGCTAAGGAACATCACTGAACTAGAACTTTCGTTAAATGTAAGTTATCTACAATAGTGCATCGTTGATGATTGAGCTGAGAGGCTGAGTTGTGGTTGGCATTGATGACAGTAGACTGTGATGTCTTTAAAGTGTAAGCCTGTCTTCTTCTTCTTCTATTTTGTTGTTATTGAGTCTACCAGTGATGCTCCTGGAGTGCTCCAGTTAATACAAACACAGTGGGAAATTATTTCCTGTACATGTTGCCTGTACGGGCACACTCTAATTGTATTAAGTCATCAATATTATTACTAGATATTATCTCTTTGTATAATTATTCTCATATTTTAGGAGAACCTACCACCACCAGCACAGCCTCCAGTAATCACTGATGCTTTTGATCCATTCATTTACATGATTGAACTAAATGAGCTGATTCCTCCTTCGCTCGGAGTCAGTAGCTACATCCTAAGAATATCTTCTATAAATCTCACTTTGTTTGAGCGCCTACAGCATCAAGTCAGTTAGAATGTTGTGTAATAGTCTCGTACTACTAGGTGTGGTTGCTTTGTAGGTGAACTTGAAACACAATCTCTCCTTTGTCGATTTTGCCTGTTCAAAGGTCAATCTCTCCATTGCTTGGGTAGTCAACGAAACACACTCAGAGTTCTCCCCTTCAGTCACTCTATGTCTTGACTCAGGTACAGTGATTTAAAAAATGATAATAAATGCAATAATAAAACCATAACAGGAGTTCCTGGTCCAGTGACTAGTTTGACACACACAATTGAAGGAAGAGAAAACTGCAGTCAAAGGAATGAGGCAATCATTACTTTTAATTGGGCACCACCAGAAGGTAGTAATGCTGTTTAATATCATAAGTAGCTATCAATAAATTTTGTAGATAATTATCTGCTATCGCATTACATGCTACTTTTGGTTCCAGCCGAGTCAGCAATGAGTTCTTCATGTCTAACTTATAATGTAATTGAATTTATATTATAGCAGTCAATGATCATACTAGCAAATACTTTTATTTAATCAACAGGAATCAATTTCAAGTGTAGGTCAAAATCATTCAGTCATTCTGCAGTTTCCATGTACATACAGTGCATCAGTAAGTCTTCATGACACTAATTTATGTACCTACAACATAGATCTATATGTCACTTGCATACGTGATGTAAATTAAATTGTCTTATAATGTTTATAGTTGATATCATATCCTGGAGCCCATTCTAAGCAAATAGATGTCACAACAAGTAAGATTAATAATATATATATATGCTTACCAAGTATTATAAATATACTTTATAGTACCGAAGCCATCAATAAATATCTCTTGTTCAAGTCTATTTGATCCAGAGTCAATGCACTATAATGTCACTGCAGAGTTCACAGTGAGCCCTAACAACTGCTTGGTCTTGGGATACATTGCAACATACGTACTTAAGATCTATGCATACAGGGCAAACTTTGGAGGAACTCAAAGATTAGGAGGACAGATAGACCAGAAAAATATCGAAATAGTATGATGGCCATTGAAAAAATACTATCTTTATAAGTGTAACTGTTGAGCATGCGTGTATGACTAGCAACCCAGTCTCTTTTAAAATATATTACTTTATTATAGGATGGAGCCTTTCAAGATTCACACGAATATACATTGACTAATTTTGAGCCACGTAGACCTGGCGAGGGATACACCATTGAATTACAAACAAAGTTTCGGGGTATTCCCTCAGATATAGCTGATAATGTCTGGTCTCGTATACTCTCTAAACCAGACTGTCTATCAGGTTTTGCTCCTCCCATACCACCGGAACAGATTAAAACAGTTGATATAACAAACTTTAGTTTCAGCAATAATAGGATTGCCAGTTTCACAGTCAAATGGGATCAGCCTTTGAGACCTAATGGAAACATAACAGAGTATCAGATAAGAATACTAAGCAGACAAAACACAGACCTAATATCTCCTATAAATAATATTCCTGTAAGTGTAATAATTTGCCATATTGTGAATCCATGATCTACATATACATAATAGGACGACATCCAAGAGTATAATATCAGTTTTTTGCTTCTAATGGTGTTCAATGAGATTTCTGTTCAAGTGAGATCAACTAACAACTGGTGCCAGCAGTTAAGTGGATGCTACAGTGATTGGAGTGATCCCGTTACAAGAGAAGTTGTGGCAGTATCATCATCTTCAATAACCCCATCACCTCCTACTCCTAGTGTCACAAGAACACCAGTAGATGATGGTAAGTACATACAATAAATGAAGTATCAGAACTCTGTCCTTTCCAACAGGCAAATCCACACCAATCCCTTTGCTCTGGCTACTAATTGGATCAGGGGTTCTGGCACTGATCCTAGTTGCAGTCATAGCTATAATAGTTGTAGTCTGCTGCCAGCATGGATGGTGCTGTATCAAAAGGGACTATCCAATGGACCCACCCATCCACATAGCAGAGTCCGGCATAATCCCTCTACTTCAGATCAAGCGCCAGGTAATGGACGAGTGGGAGATACCGAGAGAGATACTAGAGGTCCGTAAAGACCAGACCCTTGGCTCCGGCTGCTTTGGTGAAGTATTTAAAGGTTTCCTCCAAAAGAATTATGTGTTGACTAAGAGACGATTGAGCCATGATCACGACCTTCACAGCAGAAGAGGATCACTACCTCAGGAAACATACCCAGTGGCTGTGAAGAAGCTGAAAAGTAAGAGAAAAAAGAGACTTTTATAGAAAAACTGTTTCATTAATTATGGCAGGTATCGCTGACGGGAAGGAGAGGTCTGACTTCCTCAAAGAGATTGAAGTCATGAAGACTGTCTCTTCCACTGACAGCGACTTGAGACGATTTGTCGTGAACATGCTAGGCTGCTGCAGTCTGGAGGAACCAATGCTTCTTGTAGTCGAGTTTGTGGAGAATGGAGACTTGCTGAACTATCTTAGACGAATGAAAAGGAAAGCACAAGTAATTCTTATCACAGTATTAGCATAATATGACCATGTATCCATTCTGTGTACATATAGGGGAATAACTCTACAGCTCCACCAGCCCCATACTTGGTAAGAGATTGATAACATTAAATAGATAATAGTATGAGTGGATTTACCCTTTGTTTATAGGAGCCACTGGGTAGCTACTCCCTCTTAGAGCCAAAGAGTGAGCTGGACAATGAAGGCTTTCTAACTGAGAGAAACCTACTCGATTTCTCTAGACAAATTGCATCTGGAATGGTAAAGGAGAACCATAGAATGATTTACCTTTTGCTTTATAATAGGAGTACTTGTCCAGTCTTGGCATAATACACAGGGACCTTGCCTGTCGCAATGTCCTTGTGGGAAAAGAAAAGAACCTCAAAATATCCGACTTTGGTCTCTCTCGAGTTGTCCTCAGTGATATGGTATACACACTCACTAATCACGGCCGGTTGCCATTACGATGGATGGCACTGGAATCAATATTCCAAAGAGAATTCACAACAAGCTCTGATGTATGGTCGTACGGTGTTGCATTGTGGGAAATATGCACTATGGGTAAGAGTATCAGCACGTGTGTGCCTCCATGCATGCAACGAGCAATTAGTAATGTATGGCTTGTTTGTTTAGAGCAGCTTACCCAAATAGAGTAGCATTATAATTCTTATCTCTTTATCTACAGGAGCATTTCCTTATGCAACAATGCAAGAGAAGGAGCTGCTCAAGCTCTTAAAGAAAGGCTACAGATTACCAAAGCCACAGAATTGTTCACAAGACATGTAAGACAACAAGGAATATCCTTTGCTATTATAATTCACAAACTATCATGAGCCATACATAACCTTAGGCCAACACACACACACACCATGTCTAATACACAAGTCAATAAAGCACTAATAATAATAATATCTATTCATAGCAGAATATATTGCCTATGTTTACAAACTCCTTATATGCATTATGACATGTGTTTCTCATTACCAAATACACTACTACAGACATATCATACACCCACCATCCTTCCTCCATCCTTCCACTCATTTAATATTTTGACTTATTCTTCCTTTCTCCCCCCCACACACATACACACAACAGGTTTGAAGTGATGCACCAGTGCTGGCACCCCAACCCCCAAGGCCGCCCAACGTTCTCAAACCTCCACAAACTCTTTGACTACTTCCTCTCCCGTCACACTCAAGAGCTCTATCCATACATTGACATGGAATGCAATGTACCGTACACTTACGACCACCTCACACACAAGAGTATCACAGACTACAAGAAAGACGAGACAGAAGATGAAGAAGAAGAAATACTATACATAGAGGATGAAGAGGAGGTGAGGGAGATGGAGGAAACCAATGACTGCCATAGTGCCAAGGACTTGAGTACTGCTGGCTCAAATGAGAAGCTACTTGATGAAAGCACACAATCCAGTAACGTAAGCGAGACCCAAACTCAAGAAGAGTCGACGTACGATAAACTACGCGTGGACCATCCTTTCCTTGTCAGGATGTCAGGACAGAAGAATGGTAGCCATGATCCACAGACCATGCTCCATGACGATTATTTCGAGGACTACATAGAGGAGAACATCGAGGACTACTGCCTGCGAGCTTTTGAAGAGTACAATCCAATGTGGCTCAAGAAGCTATCGACAATAACCGAAGCAAGCTGTGAGGATTATGATGAGAACAGCTAACCCCATAGCTATCCATAGTGAACCTATCATATAATATATCATTTATACAGTTATTATACGATCATCATTGTGAACTCTCTCTTTCTCTTCTCTCTCTCTTCCATATGTTACATATCTTAATTCTAGTAGTACTTGATCCATAAAAAAACATTTTTACCAAATTAATTTATAGTTTCTTGTGCATTAGTTAGTAACTGTGTCATTATTGTTAGTATCTGAGGCCATGGCTCGTTGCTATTGTGTAACTTCTTTGAGTAAGAACTCAGTGTCGCCCTAGATAAAGGAAAAATAGATTGTAGTCATTGTACGCACACACACACACACACACAGATAATCACAGTTCATACTTATATAGTTACTGTTCCTTGCACACATTATAAACATAGAGGAGGTGTGGCAATTAAAGCAAATGCACCCACAAAATGACATTTAAAAAACTTAAAAAAATTAATGAATAATAATCCCATCCCTAGCTGTAACACAAAGAGCCTCACTGAATGAAGGCCAGTCTGTCTTTCTCCTGTTTTCTGTTATCCATCCACACACTGTAATCTTGCTCTGACCAGCTCTGTACCTTCATTAACCGAAGGAGTAAAGTTTAGTGTGGGTGGAGCTTGCTTACTTGATGAGGTGACTTCATTTCAGGCGGAGCATAAGAAAAGAGTAAATTAAGGACATAGCTATGAGGGATAATGTCACCAACTCCAGCAGGCTGTGACAAGAAATTATCAGGAGCAAGGAACAATAGTCTCCTAAAATTACATGTATACATGTACATGTATAATAATAAATACATGTACATGTACATGTATACCGTAGTGATCGCAGCATTTTATGAGGATGTCCTAACTCTGTTGTTTTCGGACAAAATGGAATCAGAGCCAACTCAATCTGTTAGGAGTAGAACACATACATCCTAAGGTAATATGGTCCTGTACTTGCGCCATGTCACTTGTAATTTTCATTTTTCCTCCGTCAGTGAGTGGACGAATGAGACAGACGTGTCTCACATACACTTCTAGGGTCCGACTGGCAACACCTCTTAGGAGAGGAGAGAGATCATCTTGACAGGAAAAGAGAGAAAAGTGTTCTTGAAATATTCTAGTCGTGAACGACTAAAAGCAAGTCAAAAATTAACGCGGGAATCCATTAAAATTATGATACCGACCAGCATTTCTCTGATAAATCCAGAGCAAGGGACATCAGTTGATTCCCTCCTTGATAACTGAGACCTACCAAGAATATCATACGCATACATTTACGTGTATATATAACCAGTAACCATGAGGCTTTCTATGTAGCATTACATATGTAGTACATTGATGTCCTGCTTACATCTTAGCTTGCTCAGTGAAGTTCTCCTTGTGCATGCTGGCCACCATTGCTTCCATGACAGTCTGCACCTCATCCACAAATAACTGGATGATACCAACTTTAACAGAATGAGTCTCCTACAAAGCAAATGAAATAGCATTATTAAGTAGCTTAAGTACTATTGTTCTTCTTTATTACCTCAATCACTGAGCTTATTCTCTTCTTGCCTATCTCGAGCAATGAAGATGAATTGATGAAATGCTACAGCAAAAAAATTTATAATTAGCTTAATACTTAATATAGCTTTGGCTTCTTTGAAATGCTTGTAACCTGTAAATTATTTGTCGGAAACAGCTCAAACTTTCTACATAGCATAAGGACATCAATATGTATTGGAAAATGTAATAAAAATTTGGGGTAATTTCGGAGCCATTTTTCGGAAAAAACCATGGGCTATAGTACAGGGTATTTTTCAGAATTTGGCCAATTTTTTTAAATGGCTGTAACTTTAAAATTTTAAGTTGAAATCAGCTCAAACTTTCTACATAGCATAAGGACATCAATATGCATTAGAAAATGTAATAAAAATTTGGGGTGATTTCAGAGCCATTTTTCAGAAAAAACCATGGGCTATAGTACAGGAGGTTTTTCAGAAATCGGTCTGCTTTTTTAAAATGGTCATAACTCAAAAATTATTTGTCCGAATCGGCTCAAACTTTCCACATAGCATAAGGACATCAATATGTATCAGAAAATGTAATAAAAATTTGAGGTGATTTTGGAGCCATTTTTCAGAAAAAAAACCATGGGCTATATTATAGTACAGGGTATTTTTCAGAAATCGGCCCATTTTTTAAAATGGCCATAACTCAAAAAATTAAAGTCGGAATCAGCTCAAACTTTCTACATAGCATAAGGACATCAATATGTATCAGAAAATGTAATAAAAATTGGGAGTGATTTCGGAGCCATTTTTCAGAAAAAACCATGGACTATTGCTCTTTTCAAAAATTGGCTGCATATTCCCAAAATCCTACTCTTGATAAAAAAGAAAGTTTACATGATGTGCACCTCGTGTGATAGTGTCTCAAATTGATCTAAAATGTTAACAATCGCTATGTTCCTCTGTTGAGAGGAATTAGGTGGACCAGAAACTTGCAAAGTCACTTTACCAGTAATCACCTAATGAGAGAGAGAGAGAGAGAGAAAGAGGAAGAAGAGGGAGAGAGTAAGACTGATCATAATATAAGTATTTCCTCACCAGTTGCTCACACTTTACATTAAACAGCTGGACTGCTTTACTCACAGTGCTTGCCAGCAACTCTGCCAACGGGACACAAGAGCCACACAAATTGAGCTCCCTAGATCAAGAACTTAAAACTATTCCAATTAATGCACCTACCCAGTGAGCAGCTGAACAAATGAAAGTATCTCGTCCTCCTTGGGAAGGTTTCTTGGAGAAGATGCGAAAAGTTGATTAACCGACTCGGATAAACGAGTGAAGAGTCTAGTCGTGAAAACCTTCTCAAACTGAGACAAAGACTTCACGAGGGCATCCTGCCGCTGCTGGGCGGAGCCCAGTGTCTGAGTCCCACTGGTCTGAGAGTTTAGGAACGAAATTCCAGAGGAACGAGACTGAGTCTCTGACTGAGAGCGGAGCTGTTCAACTTGAGAGAGCAGATCGTTGAATATTAAGAGGAGTTTCGGATAATCGTTCTCAAAGGCTTGGTTTAAGAATGCTGAAGCTATACAGTACGAGAATAAGAACAATTAAACTTGAGCTTCATGTAATCTGTTCAAGGCTTCAAACTCCTTCTCTCTCTCTCTTTACCTTTGGCTGCAGTAGAGAATTCAATGCTAATATTATCAGTAATTGTATTCCAAAAGCATTGGAGCAATTTATGAGCTTCACTCTACAAAAAAAAACACCAACATGTGAAGGAATATTAATAAAATAATATCCTTAATAAATACTAACTCCATTTATTGATGATAAAAAGGTAATTTGTGTTGAAGGATCTCTTTTCTTTGATAGCACAACTTCTAATTGATGTGCCTGTAAAAAAATCATGCTTGAGCCTCAACTCTACTACTCTAGTTCACTGAATCAAGAGAGCATTACTTGTTTATAAATCTTCATCAAAGCTCCTGAGAGTTTCTCTAAACGGCTCCACAGGAGACCCTTCCAGTTGGCTCCGCCCCCTGAAGCCCCTCCCCCAAACCGCCCACCATTAGAGTTACCGTTACCTTATCAAATAATGAAAAAACAGTCAAAAAATTAATTATAGTACCTGATAACGTTTGAAGTAAAGTGGAAGGGTCGATTGCGTTCTGTATCTCGTGCTGAACTGCATCACGATACGATCCTAACACCACTACTATGGTTGCCTCTAGCTGACTCAGATTGTAAAATACTTGTAATGCCACGCCCACGTGGGTAGGATTCTAAAAATAGTAACGCACATTTAATTTCTAAATAATGCCTACCAGATGTTCTAGCCCTTGTATTAACATTTTCTTAGCTTGCGACTCTATTTCTCGTCTGACTCTTTGCAGCCATGCCTTCTCATTATCAATCACCTATAACACAATAATAATAATAATAACAATAATAATAATAATAATAATAATTATTATTATTATTATTATTATTAAATTACTTCAATCCCTGCTAGGTTGTGTCCTTCCATCAATTGGTCTATTTCATTAAAAGTCTGAGCTACTTTTGTGATCTCTTTGATTCCTCCCTGCATTAGTGTCTTTACTCTCTTAGTCAGATACATCATTCGAATGACTGTCCTCAATAAATCACAAGCCGACTGAATTACACATACAATGTAATTTAAAATACACGAGAGTATAATGCGTACCTGTAATCTTGCAAGTTGTGCAGTTCTTGACAATATCTTTTGATAAGGATCAATTATTTTAGTACTTATTCTAAAGTTAAATAATAATAATAATATAATGATGATAATATTTTGTATCCCATACATGTACCTGTCGACAGCTGTTGTCAATGAGTCAATGCGTGACTGCATCATTTTTAAAACACCTGAGCAAAAATTAATAATAATAATAATAATAATAATAAAATTAACATTAATAATTATTACCTTCCAAAGCTTCAATGCCAGTCGCTTGAGACAGCAAATCCTCATAATGCGTCACTACCTGTTACAATAAATGAAATATTAATTGGCCACTCTTACCCTCATCATACCTGTGTGTAGAGCTCATTATCAAGCTCACTAATTCCTCTCATTAGCTTGTGTAATAATTCCCCAACAGTCTGGCACTGTATTGCTTGACTAGCAAATCCTTTGGGATCAAAATCTTCCCCGAGAAGAGGCTGGAGTGAATCTAAAATAAATGTTATAAAATATAATCGTTAGCATGTTATTAGCCTTACCATCTGTGGCTAAATCTGATAAAACTTGAAGACTTGTTGCCGCCATGCTTAAATGGGCGTGACACAACAATACGGAAGAATACGGATTGTGTACAACCAGGCGTTGCAGAAACTAGGCGAGGCTCAAAGGGCGTAGCTCGTTTTGCAGCAAACAAAAATGGGTTTAGCATTACTAACAACGGTCTTCTTCTTTGTCCTGTACTCATCAGTTCAAGCAGATAACGTCACTTGTATAAGCAACTATGCAGATCTAAAGGATGCTCTCAGAGATAAAGAAACTGACAATGTTAGACGACTACTTGACACTTTCTATCCTCCAGATGGCTCACCAGTACATTTTCTCTATGTTACTTACTGCCTAAGTGATTCTAAAACCGAGTGCAACCCAACATTTGGTACATATAACTACCACTGGGCAGATACCAGACTTCTACTGGTGATTGAGCCAAATCTACTCGTTTCTTTGACCCTGGATTTCATTAAACTTGGTGTTAAAGAAATTACTCTAACTATTAGTCCACCATTTTGTTCTAATGAAAGTGAAAGCAATGTGATACTACTTGATACACTGACGACATGGGTAAGTATTGCAATTTTACAAATTATTAATTCATCATCGTTTTTATTTTTTTAGTTAAAGCATTATGCAACTAGTGATGAGGATGAATCGGATAGAGGCTATGTAGCTTATGTGTCTGGCTCCGAGTTTCCTATCACCACTGAGAACCTTATTTTCCAGCTCCTTGTACCTTATGGTCTACTAACAGTTGTCATTAATATCCTCATCATCCTAAGTTTCAGGGTTTGTTCAAGGACAATGGCAGAGAGAATTGATAAAGCAGTAGAAAGAGCTATTTCCACGGTTCAGTCTAGTGTATCTGATGAGCAGGAAGAAAAGGAAAGGCCTCCTTTCCTTAAGACCATTTCTTCACCTGGTCATAATACTTTTTATGTTTTAGCTGTGGTGTTTCTGACAGTCTATGATATGAGATTATTTACAACCATTGAAACAAAATATAATTATCTCAGTTGGTTTGTCTTCTTTCCAGTACCATTCATTGCTCCTTTGTGCTTAACTGTCGGTGTTATCACTCCAATTTGTATCAAAGGCATTGGATATTTACGAGGGGCTACAGAATATGAAACCAAAAAAGACACAATCAATCATATAATGACCATAGCACTACTCATCACATTAAGTTCTTTTGCTCTCTTTCATGGGTTTTGGATGGCTATGCTGTTTGCTGTTTATCCTTCTATTGCTCTATCAAGAGCTCTCATCCTGATCCCAATGTACTTGCCAATATTGATCATATACAGGAAGATACCTTATTTTGTTAGAAAATTTCGTGAACTGTATAAAAAGAGAGGTAGAAAGGATGGTAATCAAGATGGCAAGGTCACAATAGCTGCTTTATGTTATGTTGTCTTTGTAATTGTGGTGATGTGGCCTGCTGTACTACTTCTCATCAATTATATATCCAATTACTTCATTATTGTGAATGAGCTTGCAGGAGACATTTTGCAGCTCATAGTGATTGTTGCCATTGTGACACTCATCACATATCGCTTAGCTAAAGTTTTTGTCGAGGTTGATCAAGAAGATGAAGATACTGGATATGGAGAGGCAGATGATGAAGTAAACCTTCCATATGGAGAAGTGAACAATAGCTATGAACCACCAAGTGAAGAGGTAAGAGGACTGAATTATGAGGGTATAAAAGAGACGACAATACAAATGGAAGAGACCACACTGCATGCAGGAAGGGAAAATGAAGTTGATGCTGATGATGAAACTATGCCAATCCCTTATAATGATGGGGAGAACAGGGCCATGCCTGTTCCATATGTATTAGTTAAATAAACATATTTTACATAGCTACAGTCTGTTATTTATAGCTGCTGCTTTACTTTTATATTCTTTATTTTTATTTGCAAAAATAAAAAATTGCGTGGGATGTAAAGGTGGGTGGAACTAAAATAAGGGTGGGGCTCACTGTACAATTGATTATTAATGATACCAAGAGCTTGCTCTTGGTATTACTCTTGATAATACTTATTGAAAAGAATCAATGAAAGTAGTAAATGAAAACTACTTTTACATATATGTATATATATATATATATATATATATATATATATATATGTATATATATATATATATATATATATGCAACAATACGGAAGAATAAGCATTGAATAGTCTACAAGCATCTGTAGGGGTTTACAGCAAACAGAAATGGGGCTAGCTTTACTGACAGCAGTCTTCTTTGTTCTGTACTCATCAGTTCAAGCAGATAACATCACTTGTATAAGCAACTATGCAGATCTAAAGGATGCTCTCAGAGATAAAGAAACTGACAATGTTAGAATACTACTTGATACTTTCTATGCTCCAAATGGTTCACTAGTACACTTTCTCAATGTTACTTACTGCTTAAGTGATTCTAAAACCGAGTGCAACCCAACATTTGGTACATACAACTACCACTGGGCAGATAACGGACTTCTACTGCTGATTGAGCCAGGTCTATTCATTTCTTTGACCATGGATTTCATTAGTCTTGGTGTTACAAATATTACTCTAATTATTAGCCCACCATTTTGTTCTAATGAAAGTGAAAGCAATGAGAGACTACTTAATACACTGACGACATGGGTAAGTATTGCAATTATTAATTTATTATCATTTTTCATAATATTGTTTATAGTTAAAAAAATATGCAACTAGTGATGAGGATGAATCGGATAGAGGCTATGTAGCAGCTTATGTGCCTGGTTCCGAATTTCCCATCAATGATCAATCTCTCCATCTCCAGCTTGTTGTGCCTTTAGGCTTACTAACAGTTGTCATTAATGTCCTCATCATCCTAAGTTTCAGGGTTTGTTCAAGGACAATGGCAGAGAGGATTGATAAAGCAGTAGAAAGAGCTATTTCCACGGTTCAGTCTAGTGTATCTGATGAGCAGGAAGAAAAGGAAAGGCCTCCCCTCCTTGAGACTATTTCTTCACCTGGTCATAATACCTTTTATGTTTTAGCTGTGGTGTTTCTAACAATCTACGATATGAGATTATTTGTATCCATTAGTCCAAAATACA